GACATAGATATCGTGAAATCCAAGCTGGGGTCCCCTGTGACCCTTCAGGAAATGGCCATTCGTGATGGACTCGTTGGAAAGATTCCTAAGCTTGACGAGATTCTACCTAAAAAGCTACGGGCACGAAAATTGATGGACCAAAAAGCTACCAGTGTTGCCGATGTTGCGTTTGTGCTTGACTGGATATCGTCGGGACCCGGTCCTTGGGAAAAGGTGACTGTGGTGGAAACCAACCGGCTGATAAAAGCCTCGGAGATGACGAACCGAGCACGTCGGCGCATCAACAAGATTCGCAAGGAACTGGAGAAAAAGGCGGCAGAGATTCGAAGCCGGGCCGCGCTGGCTCTCCAGGATCTTCCCGCGCACGAACGGGCACTTCTTCCTTTGACACGCAATGCGATTCAGCAGCTCAGCATGGAGCATCATGGCATTATCCGTGGCCGTAAGCTTGATGTCTCGAACGACGAATCCCACAACGATTTAAAGGCTCCGGAAGAGTATGATTCCGCACAATTACGAGAAGAACTGAAACAGCAGAATTTGGATGTTTTCAAGGAACGTCAACAAATTGCGAAGGCAGCGGAGCAGGGAGCGATCGAGGAATGGTTCGATAATAACGAACTCCCAATCACAGAGGCTGGCTCGGTCTGGGAACATGTTTCCGCGGCTAGAGAATCAGCCCTCAAGTCATTTGATGCTCAAGACAGGCTGAATGGCTCGGAGACGCAGTCTGCAACCCTACAAACGTCTCAAAGTACAGGCGCGAACCAGGCGCATAGTACCACCACAAAGCCGGAATGGGCCAAACAAACCCGTGAGATCAAGATGTACTGGGCCGACTTAAACGACGGACTCTTCGCAGCCTCCTGGCCAGGTAACGTCGTTCATGGCGCCCTCGCGCCCTTCGGCTTGGCCAAGGCTTGGAAGACGAAACTTGGACTTGATGATGAGGGCGAATTTCCAAAGGGGAAACCACAGCAGCAATACCAAGCTGTTGTATCCAAGAGTGTGCACGTCATCGGCAGCGGAATAAATGATGGCTGGATGCCCAAAGAGATGGCGAATGGGTATACGCAACCGCCATTGTGGGAACAACCGCCGTTGACTGAGCCTGAAGAAGATATTACGGATTATTCGACTGAGCAGGCGGAGATGGAGGAAGTTGGCGCTGCCTCACCTCAAGAGAAGGTTGCATATAGATCAGCGCCGGAGGAATATGAAGATGTGGTGGTCGAAGCCAGACCCAGAGGGTTTTGGGGACGGGTCAGAGGGCTTTTTGGTCGGTAAATATCGACGCGCCGTTGGAGGGCAAGCTACGTCGAAGGATGAGGGAGATGATCACTGCAATCAGTCGGCACGGGACGAATGTAACGGTCACTTGTGGGAGGGATGAAACCCTGGAGCAAGAGGGTTTGGACACATCCAGTGAAAGCCATCTATCTCTCTCCGATCTTCGAAAAACACGTCTGGGCGTCGACTTCTACTGCAATCAGACAACAGGTCCCATCAAGCGACTCGCTCTTTACCTCGACCGAATCGTGGGTGGTTGGTTCTATTGAGAGCCGGTTAAGACATCCGAATACTCACTTCCTCCCTTTTGGCCACTTTGCACCGAGTATCATACCTATGTATATGTATATGTATGTACATCTGTACAACAACCATGAGATGAGACCGCTCTGCACTCTGTACTCTGCACATCCATGTCTGCCATACATACCTAAGACTCGATGCTTACAGTTTAGGCAGGACTCGAAGCTTTCTTGGGAGCAATTCTCCTGTTGTGTTTGTTGTGTTGTTGAGTATATATAATCATGTTCATTGTGCTATATCCAGTATTATATATATGCCGTGCCAATCAGGCGCAAAAGGGGGTATACAACACGTCCCAAAAAGTCTGGTCATCCAAAGTCATCAATGCATAAACAGCGTATTCCTCGTACTCCAGCGAGTGTCGTCGTCTTTACAGGAGGCCAATGCTCGTACCTTTGCTGTATTCGTCGTACAGCGTAGCAAGTGATCGTCCCTATTCACTCATTTCATCAGGTCGTATATGCAGCAGTCCACGTATGCATGATATGCGTAGTCAGGTTCGTACAGGTCGTGACGGGGTTATAAACAGCATCGTCTCCAATATCCAATGTCGCAATCCGAATGGGACAAGTCAAACCGCTTGCTGGCGCAGGAGCAATGCAGCAACGCCCTCCAAGCCGGTTTTGCCTTTCCCTTTCTCCCTCTCTTTATCTCTAGCCTTCGCAGCGAGCGCCTTTTCCACTTCGTTGCGCTTGCTTAAAACGCTCTTCAGAGCCCCCAGCCATCTATCCAACTCTTCCTCGCCCGGCGCACAGAATCTGTACGTCTTGTCGTCCGTGATAATTTGAAAGCAGAAATTTTTGGATTTGCTCACGGGGTCAATCTCGGCGGCATTGACAATCGAGTGCATCGGTAGAATCTTTACGGCAGCATATTCCGCTTCATTCTTGTAGAACGACAGGCTTCGGGAACGGAGTACGACCCAGATCCACTTCCACCCCTTGACGCCAGTTTTGTGTGACTTCAAAATTTGTAGATGTCCTTGCCGAACAACCCGTTCTGGGTCAGCGACGGGGTCGGGCTGTGACGGGGGTTGGGATAACTGTGCATTTCCTTTGGCCTCGACCTTACCACTGAGCTGTTGTGATGAAACAATTGGTGTCAATACCGGTGGTTGTTTGGCCAGCGACGACGATGAGTTTTTTGGCAATGAGCTCCCCATGGAATCCGAGAAGTCCGAGTGTGACGTCGTGAATTGTTCGTTTCCAGAATATTCCTGGAAATTGGAGGGCCGTCTTTGGCTGTTCGCTTGCAGTGATCCATGCCTGGGTCTGTTCTGTATCGCACTCGATCGACCTTCGGGGGAACCTGGAGCACGATGCATTTCATCTGCGGACATATCGGTAGAGTCATAAGTGTTTGACAGGTCACCAGTCCTACTCGAAAGCTGCGGCGCGGTAGAGGCAATGTTGTCATCTTCATCGGTCCTTGCTTCTGAGCGGATATACATGATCCAGTCCTCCGTGTCTGCTTCAGATATGCCGCGAAAATGATAGTTCTTCGACGGGGAGAACACGCCAAATACATGTTCGGTGTGTACTTTTCGGACGCGTGCAACAGCCGTGACTTCGGACAAGGTAATGGAAGCTTTGAGATCAGTCTCGTCGGGATTTTGGTAGACGGACAAGAGGTTCGGCCTCAGGACGAGGTAGGCCGGCTTCCATGATGGTTTCCAGGCTCCTTTGTTTTTTACCCGCCAATGCACTTTCCCGCTCTTGATCACACGGTCAAAGCAAAAGCTCCCATTCTGATCAACTGGCGAGAAGACGGCAAGACCTAGATGGCCCGATTTGTAGGATGATTGAGAGGGAAAGGCGAGTGGTATCCGGTTCGGAGAAAGCTGGGGTGTATCAAAAGCAGGTCGAGCGGGAGTTGACGGGCGCAGAGGAGAGGTTGCTGCCATGATCGAGAGAGGAGAATGCTGGGCTTTAGAGGAAAGCTCGCAACCATCAATCCGCGCGTGTAGGCGGGCGGCGTCACTATTATATCATTCCATGCGGTGAAGATCAATGGCTCGTGATGCCAGACGTAGGGTAGGCCGCCGCGTGCAGAGGGTGGGTTGCAGCTGCAGGAACGCGGGGAAAAGGGTCTTTTCGAGGCCAACTAATCCCAACAATAGCTGGGCAGGCTCAAACAAGGGTGTTTCAAAGCATCACGATTGAAGGTTGATCGATTGGGATGAAGTTCTCAGACTCATGAGGCCATTATTGTAAGCAATTCGAAACCGAGTCGCAAGTTGAAGTGGCTGTAGGCAACAGGTTCAGGGTGGTTGGCGGCCACTTGTTTATGCTGGTCATAATTCGCTTGTCAAGTCAACAAACTCGTCGTTAGTTCTGTGGCAAATGGAGGCTGGGTGAGAGGGTGAGAGAGGTGGCAGACTTCTGAGGGGAAGCGATGATTATTGGCCTCTTTGAAACTGGCGAGTCTAGCAGCCCCGAGAGGCAATTCTTAGGCCACGCCAACTGAGCCTTGGCCCCCTGGAAATTATCCGCGTTAGTCTTTAGGTGAGGTGTCGGCGTACTCGTAGTCGTTCGGTACTGTCGGGGGCAACTTTAAAGCCTCCTTTTTGCTCCCGGGCAGGGGGGCAACCCTGAGTCAACCACCTAAGTGCCTATTGGTAAGTATATTTGGGCACGATATTTGGCCACTCTGGAGATTCAGGAGCATCTTGACAAAAAAAAAAAAAAAGGAAAAGGAGGGTCACCGAGGGTGGTAATACTGTCAACATCAGTAATCATCTTGTGACCGCTGGTCATATGTATTCTTGAGAGTGCATCTCTGCGATGAATCCCCCCCGGTTGACCTGCGATATGATTGTGATACACATCCATCAAGTAGGCTGGTGGGAAATGAGTTTGATGATATCGCTGCCACCAGTTGCTATACGGAGTGGCCAGTAGTACATTTCTCGATATGTAGGTGTCTTGGCAGCTACGCAACCTCAGTGGCTCCTCAGTGGCCCAGCTGCGTCCGGTAGTGGTTTCTGGTCCCTGGCGGTCGTCGTGCTGTGGATCACCAAGTGTCTGCAACTTCAAGCCAAAAGTCCTTTTCTCCTCTCCCAACGCCCATGAAGAGCCATATCTGTCCTCATACTTTGTTGAATCAACGCAGTGAGCCCATTATGTTGCTTTGGTATCGCTCAAGATAATCCTATTGCGCCATTCCATCCGGTCCTGAGCTTCCCCTGGTTCTGTGCGCGCTCATCCCTATCAGCTCCCGTCTCCAACCCTACACGATATCCAGAACCTTGGCCGCCTGCGAGGCAACTGGAAATCCATCCAGCACGGAAATACACGAGTCCACTCGAGGTCCCAAGTTGACATTCGATGACGATTGCATGTCCACGAGATAAAAGTTTGGAAGCAGCGCGGAAAGCCCTCCTTCGTCCGAGGTAGAAGTCCCTAATAATGGGGTTTGCACAGCGCCTGTATAAACGCCTACCTGCACTTTACACGTCGCCTACAGTAGACGACTACAAGCATGAAAAGCCCAAGACGCTTTCGAGATTATCCTTTTTCCGCAGGCGCATCCGGCTAAAAGGCAACTCGTCTATATCGATTCCATTGGGCTTCTTACTCCTTTTTCCCAGCTTGGTTGTCTTAATCATCCTCATTCTTGTCATAAAACATCCTAACTCTCCGGGACGAATATTGGTCCCGGCTGGCACGCCTCCTTCAATACGGTATGCCCTCAGTCATCCCTCTTGTCCTGGTTGAATATTTCTTCTAACGCCTCAGCAGAAAAATAAGCGAAAAGCACGATCGAGTATTTGCGACGGGATGCCTGAACCCCGAAGACGCCGCGAAACAACCACGAGCCAACGCGGCTTTTGTTGTCCTTGCCCGGAATAAGGAGCTGGAAGGAGTCATTCAATCAATCAAAAGCATGGAAAGACATTTCAACCGATGGTTCCATTATCCTTACGTTTTTCTCAATGATGGAGAATTTGAACAGGAATTCAAAGACACTGTCACCAACTACACAAGCTCCCCTGTGGAATTCGGCAAGATTGATCCTTCGATGTGGGGATATCCGGACTGGGTAGATCATGAAGTTGCAAAAGAGGGAATTCGCAAACAAGGAGACCTCGCAATCATGTATGGTGGCATGGAGAGCTACCATCACATGTGTCGCTTCTACTCGGGATTCTTCTACAAACACGAGCTGTTGGACAAGTACGAATGGTACTGGCGGCTGGAACCCGAAATCAAATACTTCTGCGATATCACCTACGATCCTTTCATTGAGATGGCCAAGGCCAACAAAACCTATGGTTTCACCATCGCCGTCAAGGAACTGAAGGAAACTGTACCTAATATCTTTCGCTATGCCTCAGCTTACAAGCGCAAACACAACATCAAGTCTCAGGGTCTCTGGGAGATGTTTATCGAGCCCCAGCCTGAAAAGGAAGCTTCTGCGGACGACAGAAGAGCCAAGACACTGCCGAACGAGATCCTCCAGACCGAACCTGGCCATCAAAACATCGAGGACATCGACGGCGAAGCAATGGAGGGCGAGAAATATAACATGTGCCACTTCTGGAGCAATTTCGAGATTGCACGCTTGGACTGGTTCAGAAGCAAAGAGTACAATGACTTTTTTGAGATGATGGACCGGAGCGGAGGATTCTGGATGGAAAGGGTGGGTTTTCCAGAACTATATCGTCGAACTACGCGTGAACTAACTTTGACACAGTGGGGAGATGCCCCGATACACTCTCTCGCGGCGGGAGCCCTCCTGGCTCCTCGTGATATCCACTATTTCCGCGACTTTGGCTATCGCCACACGACTATCCAGCACTGTCCCGCGAATGCGCCAGCCCGACAGCTGCCGAGAATCCCTTGGCTAGAAAAAACCACTGAGGATGAGAAGGAAAGACAAGAAGAAGACGAGTACTGGGCGACCCCAGATCCTCCCAAAGAAAACGGCGTCGGGTGTCGGTGTCGATGCGACACCGACATTCGAGACGTGGAAGGAAAGGAAGGCAGTTGTCTCGCCGAATGGGTAGAAGTCGCTGGTGGTTGGGCTTCCCCTTGACCGAAAAAAGCTAAGGGCGGCACACAATTGGCAATGGTAGAGCAAGATGTTTCGATTAATGCATGGCAGCTTGGCGTTGGTGTCCTTCCGTGAGATTTGAGAGACGCTACATTCTGGCGTCGGAACAGCACGGTCTGTGCCGTGTAAGGAATATCGGAATGACGCTTGGATTCAGAGGCACATTGTCTGGGTTTGTTCTCAAGAGTACAGAACATATTACCTCGAGCATCTGAAAAAGCAGAGTGATGCAAGAAGAAAGGAAGAGCTGAAGAGACGAAGGAGATGTCGATTCAGCAAGGGAAGCCGACCTGAGAAGATGGTACTGGCTATCAAGGCTGTTGGCATTCAGGGATGGACATCTTGCCGACTGCTGATGCTGACAGCACAGCTGGTGTCACGAGTTGCATTGGGGCCTGGGGCCGTTCTATAATTGAGTTAGGTTGGGCGAAGGTGGAAGAACCCATCCATATACCCCATGGGATTGAAGTGTATGGTTGGGCTTGTGTGAATACAAAATATACCGCTTTAGCATACCAGCCAACGGAGGCGGACGATCCAAATGGAGACAACAAGGCTGGAGCCTACTTGTATGTGCAGCCTTGCTTATCAAAGGTGGAGCTTGCAGAGAGGCACCCACGGTGCTACAGCGCCTAAATGGCAAAGCGTAGCGTGGAGGGGCAGGAAGCCAGGCGTCCGGCGTGCATGGGCGCGTCTGCGGGGTTCCTGCTTTTGTCTTATCCATCATTGCCTGGCATCGACCTTGGATACACTGCTTGGTGCCTAACTACCCTCTGCCTGCCTCCATTCTCTCCCAACCAACTGCTTTAGACTGCTTCTATCTTCCTGTTTATGTGAATCTTCCCTTCAACGCTCTCATGTACCCAAGCTGATGACCCTACACTGCCTGAACCGGACTCGTCCCACTGCCCACGCAGAATCACTTGGTCCCGGGTCTCATTCGTTGAACCACGGAATTGATCGACCCAATCCACCAGAAGTCGCAACACTGTTGAGACCTCCAGGAAGGAGTTCTGGAGCATTTTCACCTCTAGTAGTAGGTTCACTGCAAGACATCGCTCCGTTCTCCATCGACCGGCCCAGAGGATTATATCCCTGGCATCGTCTCCTGTGCATGCATGGCACAATATGACTGACATGTTTGAGCACAACCGCAGCACGACCTTTCGAAACGAAGTGGCACCGTCTTCACCCCCCGCAGACACTGCTTCACACCAGTTCGACCTCAGATATCCGGAGATTCCCCTACATCTCTCACTTGACTCTCTGCTCGAACATTCGTCCTCCTCCTCTTCCAACTCCATAAGAACCATTGGTACAATGCCACCGCCTGAACCCGACCAGAGTTCCCTAGACGACAGCTGGGCCTCCCTTGCGGACGCTGAGTCCTCGAATGAAGACGACCTGCAATCCGAGCACACCGACGTGGGATCTCTCCTAGATGTGCATAGTTCAGATGATATCCAGAGCGTTTCTGATGAAGTCCCTATCCACGACGATGCCTTATCGGATGGAGATGGCCTCGAAGACACTCTCACTGAAGATTTAAGCCGCCAACCCATCATAGATTCCCCTCCTGAGCGAGAATATGTCTGGCATCAGCGGCCCCCTTTCCTTCCCAGCGCAGTCTTTTCGGAACAGGACATGAATCAAGATGTCAAGGGTCCCATCGACACATTTACAACCATCCGACCTCTCTCCGAAGGAGAGGCTCGAAGGCTGCCTCGTGGTGGTCAAAGAGATGGAGAAATGCCGAGATACTTCAGCGTTATTCGAATGCCTACATTGGAAAGTGGTCTAGACTTGGACGTCCACAACTACTTTAAGGTTCTCCTACTAGGCCACCATGTTGAACAATTCAAGCCAGAACTTCAGAGAAAACTCGGAGATGTTTTAGTATCGCGGCCTATGGCATCCCATAATGTCAGTCCAACCTCTGTTTCGAGGTATCATCTGGTACCGAACACTTTTGGGCCTGGAGCAGAACCAGATTTCGCCGACCTTGTTGCAATCGACAAACTGATTGACTTTGAATGTTATGATCTGGTTCAGTCATCCAGTGGTCTCGGCCAGCAGGAACAGTTGACGCTTCGCAACAGCCAAACACGCTCAGAAATTGTTTCAATGTGGAGTGGCTCTAGATTTGTGGTGGACAACCCTCGATGGACTCTTCCGGATCTTGCAATCATTTGCGTTCATCTCGACGATGCAGGTAACATGAACAGTTCCAGTCGCAACATGATTTCCTTTGTGGAAAGACTGGGCATACCTAAGGTCCTGATCCGAATGGATCGGGGCTTGGAAGGCGATTATCGAGGCTGTGTGACATCCGATTCTCTACACGAATGTATTGAGACGATACCTCTGCGGTCATGGTCGGTGCAGCACAAGATCTCACCACAGTTACCACTAGACATGGCGGCATTCTTGAACTTGGATGCTGCAGCCCTCAACAAACACATTGCGTATGTTGTTTTGATCGCTGAGAGAGCTCGTGTTTCCGAGATCGATGGCTTGAACTCCTTGTCGAAAGAACCTAACGAGAAATCTCCGACCAAAACCTTCCTGCTCTCACAAGTCAATGCTTCATTCATTAAGAATGTCTTCATCGTCCTATGGGTCGTCGGCGTGTACAGCTTTCTGGGCTTCCGATTATGGCCGATATTGTCGGACCCAACCTCGGGTGCAATTTCCGGTGACATTGTTGCCAGTGTCACCGCAAAAGAACAACCACCTTCAGCAGGAAGGGAACTCTCTATGTCGACATCCGCAACTTCTGCTGACTGTTCAAAGGAGGAAAATCAGGCTGCTCAACAACTGCTAGACATTGCTTCGCTTAACGTTGTCCCTGCTGTTGCAGATGACGCACTACATTTCCAAGTCGGGGTCGCAGGGGAAGGTCAATTGCTAGTCAAATTGCCCAAGGTCGCTTTGAGTCGCAAGAAGCGCTCTCCCTTGTCGATTGAGCTCAAGCGCAAGAACCAGACCGTCCCTGCGACTGTACAGGAGCTCTTTGAGGGGGTTTTCCGTGTCCAATTGCAGCCATATGATGCTTATGGCGATATTGAAGTCAACCTGACCATCAGAAAACCTCAAATCAGCGAACTGATCACTGTCTCCTTTAGCCCTCAACCGGCTTCCGAATATCAGCATCTCAAGGCACTATTTAGCATGTTGAGCGGACGTGCCCAAGAGACGACGAGCAGCGTTTTTGATTCCTGGAAGGGAGTGCGAGAAGGACAAGTCATGGATGGTTTCAGTTCTTTTCCGAAGCTTGCTAGCGCCGGAAGTCAGGGACAGAACTTGCTCAATAGAGCATGGCACTTTTTGAACATGTCGGCACTTGCCGATTTCCAGTCATGGTTGAGAACGGAAACAAATATTCTACACGGTGATGTGGTGCGCATGACGCAGCACTACGCTCTTCCAGGTAAGAGGTTTAGCGACATGCTGTCCGACAGACTCTCGAACGCTCGCCTGGCGTTATTTGATATGGCTGAGGCCGTTGATATTCAGCGATTTTCAATGCCTGTTGGCAAGAAAGCCATTCTTCGCCAGCTAGCCGCTGCACAAGAAAGAGCAAAGCAGATTGTGACCAAGGCAGCAAGAAAAGTTCGTGCGTCAAAAGCACGGGCCTAACCCCTTTTGTGGCGACCAGCGAATGGCATGACTGGTAGCGGCGTTTGAAGACTATCCATATTTGTATGCATGGGACAAACACCAGGAGAGCTTCATGGATCGGTTTAGGGCGGTTGGGTAGGTGGCGAGTGACTGGCGATTTGGGACAAGGATGCCACCGGTTGAGGGACAATGTGCTGGTTATGAGCAACGAAATATACCCAGAGAGATTAGCAGTTGAACATGCTGGTGTTCAGCGGATACATTGAATGGACCAGGCATTATTTGAGCTTTATTCGATATTTATTGTCTGCCGGAGCTGCGTGCTCATTAACTAAGTATCTATATACGTATTGAGAGCCTAGCAAGACTAGTCGACGAGGCTGACGGGTGTTGCTATTTCGAGGTGATGCACAGATACTTTTGCACTAACCATTTTAGGAAAGGCCGTGTTTGGCCCCAGTCAGAGCCTTGTTTCGGACCTTTCGTTGCCCTAGAATCAACCACCACCATCACCACAACCTGCTCCTCCACTCGCTGAGACCTCATCTTCGTTTCTAGACATTGTTACACTTTTCCCTGTCATTCTCTAACCTCAATCCGTCTCTCTTTATCGTACAGTAAGCGCGTCAGTCGTTTCTACAGCCTCACTATCTGTCGCCTCCTGTTTCTCTCCGCCCACCCCTTGGGCCGACTCCCACCCATTACGACTTCCATCCTCACTCCGCTTGATTGCCCGCTACAATACACCTGATTCTTGCCTGTGGGATTTGGTATTGAGCCTTGTGTTATCTCGAAACTCCCTCGAATTCGCCTGCCCGAGCGCACTTGGCCCAAGATGGGCTTCGGGTCCTTCGAGTCGATATGCAGACAATCTGCGCTACCTCTTTGTTACATCCTGGGTCCTCCCGCCGAGTTTACAGCAGCCAGAAACCCTGTCCTGCTGCCGGGATGCAGTGCGCGATCCATCGAACTAGGCAACACGATCATTTTCCAAGCCGCCACCGACTTTGCCCATATTGCCGCCCTCTTCATGACCGCCATTATGATCTTCCACGTCCGGTCTAAATTCACCGCGGTCGGGAGAAAAGAGATTTTGACATTCTTTTACATATACAGCCTGTTAACCATCGTCAGCCTGGTGCTAGACGCAGGCGTGATCCAGGCAACAACTGGGAGTGCCTATCCCTGGTTCGTGGCGGTGCAGAATGGCCTGGCCACCGCGTTGTGCACGAGTCTGTTGATCAATGGGTTTGTTGGGTTTCAGCTGTACGAGGACGGGACCACACTCTCGGTTTGGCTGCTGCGACTCGTCAGTCTGGTCATGTTCATTATCAGCTTCGCTGTCAGTCTGCTCACTTTCAAGAACTGGGCCGGGTTGTCGCCGACCAACACGACGGGACTTTTCATCGTTCTGTACATCATCAACGCCATCTTTCTCGCGGTATATTTTGTCATGCAGGTCATCCTTGTTGTCAACACTTTGCAGGATCGGTGGCCACTAGGTGACCTCGCTTTCGGAGCATTTTTTTTCATCATCGGCCAAGTTATCCTTTATGTGTTTGGCAAGAGAATCTGCGAGGGTATTAGCCACTATCTGGACGGCCTGTTCTTCGCCACAGTATGTAACCTACTGGGAGTCATGATGGTGTACAAGGTAAATGATCCGTCAAACATGGCCAAATTGATTCATATGTGCTAACGTGCGACTTTAGTACTGGGACAGCATCACTAGAGAAGATCTCGAATTCAGTGTCGGCACAAAGCAAGGCCATTGGGACGTCAAAGAAGCCCTCCTCGACCCTTCGAGTGAAGACTACCGAACGAGTCTTTATGGAGGTGGCAACGCCCCTACAGGGAGGGAATCCGTGTACGATGCCAGCAGCATGAGCATGGACTATGCGCCGCAAGTACCGGCTCACTTTCATCAGCATCCTTCGATTGGCCACCAATACGGCAGCCAGCAGTCTCACGGACAGAGTCACCACTACTCTTCAAGCCGAGATCGGCTGTCGGCCTATGGACATTTGACTGAAGGAAGACAAAGTTATGGAGACATCAGACGACTGGGGAACTATGAGGAATACTCGGAGGCGCAGACGCAGCGTTCGGGACTGAGGAGCCGTGACGGCGCGAGAGAACGGGAAAGGGAATACGCCTATTGACACGGAGTTCTCTGTATCTTTGCAGGCGCTCGAGCGAGAGATGATTGACCCTTCCCGCCTTGGGCCATTGTAGTTGTTGGTGGTAGATATTTCCATCACACTTTGTCGTGGTCCGAGCAGGTTGAATTTTTTTGTTGATGTGAAGGAGCTCGACGCAATCAATACATATAATAAAATAGACAGCCAGCTCCTTTTTGGAGCATGGCGCTAATGAGATGAATCAAGACATGGACGCGAGGATTGGCGAAAGGCGAAAGGCGAAAGGCCAATGGGAGAAAAAACGAGGAACATGACCTACCTGGTAGTAAGTAAGTAGTATTATTTTATGTATCTATACACCTGCAAGTTTTTTTTTTTATCAGTCCCCCAGGTTCGGTCGGAGGGAGGGAGGAAGAACTAGTCAGTCAGTCAGTCAGCCATTCGTGGTGGTTGAGAGGGTGTCGATATACGTATTGCCTAGTATATATATATATATATACCTGCATACGTAGGTAATATCTACCTCGTACTCTGTTTTAACATTAGAATTTGGAGTCATGCGTGGGAGACGAATTTCGCCATGTGAGCCTCCCTACCCTCTCCCTCGGCCCATCTCCCCCACTCACACCATTCATACTTCATGCTTCATTGTAGTCGTCAAATTCCATTGCCACTCACTACCATTCCCTGTCCCTTGCCAGCTCTCACAACCAGCCAGCCAGCCGCCTTGCATCTCCTCGGTTGTGAAATCCACCCGAAAACACACCCTTTCCCTTATAACGTGCCCTCTCCTGCCGTCGGATTTCACCTGACGCGGAATTGAAACTCGTCCCCCCGGTCGAGGTAGACGACTTTGTCCGAAAGGCCGGCCTTGGTGATGGCGTCCTTGAAGTCCGAGAGCGGGGAGAGGAAGACGTCGTAATCACTGCGTACAACAAAAGAGAGGGGGGTTTGAGATCGTTAGTTTCTTCAATCTGAGAGAGTGGATGGATGGGACAATCTCTCTCCATTTGTATGTGATGGACTTTCAGCTCGATGGGATGAAGGGGGTTCTTTCCGATGAAGGCAAAAACACCGCTGGAAGTGAAGAGAGAGGGACAGCCCTCGCCTGCTGTCTTGTGCAGACACAACAAAACTCATCGTATAAGAAAATCGAGACTTACTCGTAATGAATCGGCACTGTAACCTCCGGTTGCACCAGCTTCACCAACTTGACCCCTTGTTCGGCGTCCATGGTAACCATCAGCAAGGGCATATGCGGACCCGGTACGGTGGTCCCGCCCAAATGAATCAGCATCAGATCAATCGGTTTACCCGCGTGAGTATAGAGCTCAGGGATCTTCTCCAGCTCAGAGACATAGAGCGTGTCACCCGAGATGTAAATCCGATAGCCGCACTCGAAGTCGGAGCCTGGCCCAGAGGCTGACGAGTCTCCGATGTATCCGAGTTCGAGCATCCAGCCGTTGGTGGGTGGGATCGCCCCGAGGATGTCGTTCGCTTTGGCGACGAGGCCGTCCCCGACGTGCTTGCCGGGCATCCCCGTCACGCGAAGCTGCGCTTGTCTGTTGGGTACAGAGGATGGGGTGACATTCACCAATGTACTCTCCCACGCGTCAAGGGGATGCACTGCTATGAAGGCTTCACCGTGTCCTTTGTGTGTCAAGTGCTTGTGTGCGTGGGGGGTGGTGAGAATGGGCAAGTCCCGACGTAGTGAAGCTTCGACCACCTGGTCAAAATGGTCGGCATGATAGTGCGATAAGAGGACAAGGTCAATATGCGGCAAGTCGTGCAAATCGACCGCCGGGTTCGTCTTGCGGGTGCCCCTTACACCGGGCCCCAGGTGGACGTGGTCACCAGCATGTAAGAAGTTGGGATCTGTCATGAGTCGCAGACCCTCCCACTCCAATATTGTGGTTGCCGTCCCGACAAAGAACAGCGAGGCATTGGTCCCAGCCGACTCCGCCGAGGTTTGTTGAGGATATGTCTGGCTTGACTTGGCGGGAGGGAGATGTTCCTTCAACGTCGCTCCTTGGGCAGCATTTCTGATGGGACTTTGTTTCTTGGAGGTGTCGATGGTGATGCGCGCCTCGGGGGCCATTGTAGGTGTTGAATCGCACACACGCAGAATCTTGAATGTGCGATGCTCGAGGTCGTGTCTAGTCGTCTTTGATAGATGCCGCGACTTGTAAACAAAACATCGAACCCGGAGCCCAAGTGATTTGACTGCATTTAGTATGACGCTGGCATGACGACACGTGCAGGAAACGAACTCCGAGTCGCCCGCTTCCACCTGTAGACAGTTGGATTGAGTAAGGATAGACTTCCTAATGAAGCCCCGAAGACTTGCTTCTTCAGGTCTAGGGGGTGTACTGGAGGGGAAAGCAACTGGATATCTCGGGATCCGTGCAAGGTATGTTGCAGCCTACCTTTTTGGATAGAACAGGCAATGGGGTTTGGAGTAAATATTTCGCAGCAGCTGGACCCCGAAGGCTCGTCTGGTACTTCCAGAAAGACTAGCACAGACTCTTCTCGGGCGAGCTTGACTCTGGATATCACTAGACATGCGGCCAGCGACATCCACTCAAACAATACTGGGTGACTGTGAGGCGAGCAGAGCCCAGGTTTCGTGAAAGGATGGATGGCACTGCAAAAAGTCCCTAATATCGCATCACAATGTCTGCGAATTCGCAATGCCCTCCTCGCGAGAAGCTAAGGCCTAATACCAGACAGACAACTCATTATCCGCAATGGTCTTGTCAAAAGCATGGCGATCGACTGAGCATATGATGTGGTAACAGCTTTGTGGGATAAGAGTCATAATCAGAAGAGTCTTTTTACTGACACAGACATTGAGTGTTAACCACTGGCGATATGTCG